TTCCCTTCCCTTCCCTTCCCTTCCCTTCCCTTCCCTTCCCTTCCCTTTCCTTTCCTTTCCTTTCCTTTCCTTTCCTTTCCTTTCCTTTCCTTTCCTTTCCTTTCCCTTTCTTTCCTTTCCTTTCCTTTCCTTTCCGTTCCGTTCCTTTCCTTTCCTTTCCTTTCCTTTCCTTTCCTTTCCTTTCCTTCTATGTTTATTTTATCTTTCTCATGTTCTTTTATTGTGTTTGCTTCTTTCTATGCTTGTTTCCTTATCTCTTTTTCTTTCTTTGTAATGGATTCTTTCTATGCTTTGCTTGTTGTTCAATATTTTTGGTTTCGTTCTTTGTGTTCTTTCTTGATGTACTTGTTTTTCTCGTTGTCTGTTGGGTTGTCGACCGGACCTCCCCTACTCTACTTCGAGTGAGCCCCAGTCTGAAAGGCGATTTGGAAGAAGGCAGGGCACATGTATTGATAGACTAGCCTGACAAAGGCCGACATGCGGGTTGACACAATGTTCTGACGCTTGTTCTGGCATCAAGTCTGGTTTGTGCTTTGACACACCATCTATCATAAAGGTGGGGAGATCTTCTGGACTGTGCTCTGACGTCCTTGTTGGCGCGTGTTCTGACATTCCCTCCTGTCTGACATCTGATGCGGCATACGGACCGACTTTGGTCCTGGTATGCGCATGTAATCCATTATATTTCCTTGCATCCTATCCGGCAAATACTCTGGCATGAAAACAAATGTTTGACATGTCACTTTGGTGGTCACTCAAACTAAAGTCGTTATCTCTTTGGCGTTTGTCATATGTTCTACTACTTGCCTCCTCTTCGTTTTTCTTGTTTGTGCTGTTGTTGCTGTTGTCGTCGTGGTGGTGGTGGTGGTTGTTGTTGTTTGGCACTTCTTTCTTCTTTGTCACTCAATGCTTATTTCAGCACTGGCTGTGCTGGCTGAGTTGAGTCGGCAGAAGCGAAGTGTTTCTTGCACTTAGACTACTTAAGAGTACGATGCGTCATGGCTTTTAGAAATGATTGCTGCAACATCATCCTCTTTTGGTGACCAGGTTCTATGCAATTCTGGGTTATGCTAGTTTCAAAAGGAATCTCATTCCTTTCGGCCACACTAGCACCAGATGGCGTTTGTAACCGGGAATCGTGCAATTTCATTTCAGATTAAACAACCTGGAGGTATAAGTTTCTGACAGGTCATGGACATGAGGGATATACCCCTACCATCGGGCTTCACTGACAAGAATTATATAAAAGGATCTCTCACATATGCAGCATGCAGAAATGGGCGTTCAAGATGTAGCAGGAAAATAAGACAGTGTTTACTGTGATGTTGCGATGCCGCTACGGATTCGTTAAAGATTCTGAAAGTTCAACAGTAACAATGCCTTCCAATCTTTGGTGAGAGCCGCAATCTCAGGAGACATGCTGCACCCACAAGAATCAGAGGAACAAAAGTATAGATATTTTCTAGCTTTCCGCAGAAGACCCACCGGGAGATCGTGGAGAACAAATTGAGTTGCTCGAGCCCAAGAAATAGTTTTTTGGAAGAGACCAGTGTGGAAACATATCTCCGGAATCAGAGGGTTTGGACCTTCAACACCCGAGTTTGGTATGTTTTGCGCATTTTTCCCCACCTGTCAGGTGAGGGTTGTTAGATTTTATGTCAGCCCTATCTCCTCCTCCTTCTCCTTCTCCTCCTCGTCCTCTGCCGAACCTCAACCACGACCATCCACGCTCAGTGTTCCCTGCCCGACCTCAACCAATCCCCGCCGGACCTCAACCACGACCATCCGCGCCCAGTGTTCCCTGCCAGACCTCAACCAGGACCATCCGCGCCCAGCGTTCCCGGACCTCAACCACGACCATCCGCGCCCAGTGTTCCCTGCCGGACCTCAACCACAACAATCCGCCCCCAGTGTTCCCTGCTGGACCTTAACCACGACCATCCGCGCCCAGTGCTCCCCGCCAGACCTCAACACGCAATTACAAACAGAACAACAAACGCACAACCAAAAACACACAACCACAAACACGCAACCACAAACACACAACAACAAACGCGCAACCACAAACCCGCAACCACAAACACACAACCACAAACACACAACCACAAACACACAACCACAAACACGCAACCACAAACATGCAACCACAAACACACAACCACAAACACGACCACAAACACGCAACCACAAACACGCAACCACAAACACGCAACCACAAACACACAACCACAAACACGCAGCCACACACACTTCCACAAACACAACCACAAACACACAACTACAAACACACAATCACAAAGACAACCGCAAACACACAACCAC